TATATATATATATAACTGTATGAAGTTCTTTCATATCTTAAACTGCTATCCAAATTTCTTAATCTTCTCATGTCTTATCTGAGTTCCCTCTTCTTCATACCAGAAAGCTTGAGTTACATTGTGTATTTATCCTACTGTTACAGGTGGATCTCAAGCCTAACAAGCATCCTCCTGCTTTCATTCTTTCTGAGTTGCTTCCATTGATGATGCTGCACTGTGTCGTTTAGAAGGTCATTTGGGAACAGTGTAACTTAGGGGGACAAGTGTGCAGAGAAGTCAATTTTCAGGCTAATCCTTAAATGGTAACTCGAAAGAATGTGCTGGACATTTCAGAGGCTTCTGCCAACAAATGCCACTATCTTGAGGCAAATGGGGATTTTTGGGCAGCAGTATTATAATAATTTGCCAATTATGCCTGCTTCAGAACGATTGCCAAAACAATCCAACGACTTTTCATTCCACTACTGTTGACAGGATAGCCAAGAATTTCAACATTTCCTTTTACAGTCTGAATAAAAGTTCCCTGCCTTGGGGACTATAACAATATTTGCCATCATAGGGGAAAAAATGTGGGGTGCTATGAAGGGGAAGGAAAGGCAAGGCAAGGCAATAATGAAAATAAACAAAAATAAAGACAAAGTAGAGTTAGTCAAAGTCGGGTTTTAAATGTTTTAATTGTATAATTTCTTATTCATAATTATTGTAATCTCTATAGCATATAACGTGACTTTCAATGTATGCATGTAGTATATGAGAGTCAAATCAAATCTATTACCATATACGTCATTTTCAGTTTTGAATACCTGCATTAAACTTATATTTGTGAATGTACCAGGGGACAAATTTTAGAAGTTAAGGATCAAACTTTGCATAGACTTTAAAAATAAACTTTGCATAGGTTTAAAAAAAAAATAAAGTGGGGTTTTCAACTTGAATAGCAACCAAGGTTTCTCAAATTTGGGTCTGTAGAAAGGCAAAAAGCTTACTGTAATAATGTGTGTGGTGTTCAACACTGAAGGCTTATTTTCTAAATAAATTTGGATTAAATTAATTTTTCATTGTAAAAAGAAAACTTGAATAGATGAAGATAGAGAAAACAATCTCTTGAGTTGTTCAAAATTGAACTTTGAACCTTTTTAGAGAATAGACAAGGAGAAAACAAGGGACGAGGTAAATGGCAGCCAGGTGTGGGAGTTTTAAGGCTGCTGAATTTCAATTGGTTGATGGTTAGCGTCTCAGTCCAGTTAAAAAAACGCACGGGGCATGTGTGCATGTGTACTCGAAATCTGAGAGCAGAACGAAGGAGAAGGTTGTGGCATGAGCATATACCTTGGGGGTGCTTTCTCGCTTTCTCTCCCTTTCTCTTTCTGTCTCAGGTGAGCATGTGAATCCTACAGCAAGTTAACAAAAAATATAGAGGGGAAAAAGCAATGCAAAGAGAGCATGTTAGGACAGTGATTTTGGAAACATGTTTTTCAAAAACCTCTGAGATCCATGGGCATAACATATGAACACCTCTGAGACTTTAAAAAGAGGAGAAAAAATTTTTGAAGAAAAAAAAAAACTGCAAAAGGAAATGAACCACTGAAAGTTCTTGATCAGGGAGTGATATGATAAGAATCTGGAAACTTAGCACAAGATGGATTAGAACAGGGTTAGCCTTAAAATAGGAATTCCAGTTTAAAGCCTATGGCAATAATCAGGTGAATAGAATTAAAAATTTGATCTAGGGACCAGCAATTGGTGTAACGGCTATGTCGCTGGACTCCCATGTAGTTGACCGTGGTTCGAGTCCCAGACCCAGTGACTTAAACTCACGCTGGGCGTGTGTGCCCAAGATCCTGAGAGGAGAATGGAGGAGACGGGATTACAACACAGTCAATTCCCCTGGGGGTGATTTCTCACTTTCTGTTTCTCTGTCTCTCTCTGTCTTTCTGGCGAGAACATGCACCCTATAGCAAAAACCTCTCAAAAAAAAAAATTGAGATCCATGTATAATTTTTTTCTTAATACGTATTTTGCCTTAATTGTTTAAACTCTCCCTTGTGTGTATTGCTTAGGCTTTCTCCAGGCCTTTCTCATTTTTATATGGTTATGCTGTATTTGCTGCCCTATAGCAAAAAATCTCTCAAAAAAAAAAAAAAAGAAAACTGATCTAATAATATATGAAAAGGAAAAGGAGTATATGAACAATTTTGAAAGAATAACCCTGAATTTAACTTCTAGACATTGGGATGCAATGCTAAGCCACATACAGACATGGCTATATGGGGTATGTTTGGCAAGGAATACACAGAAATAAAAACTGATGGTTTTCAGGAATGGATGACTGGGGTCACAAAAATTTCACAGAGAAATCTAGAATCCTGTAAATGCTGAGTGGGTGCAGCCATGGGATCACTGATGTGTAGGTGGCTGGCAGATGTTAAGTGGAAAGTTACACCTTGGAATAAATACTGGGGATGAGAATATACATTTGGAAGTCATCCCCATAAAAGTGGTAGCTAAAATATCAAGAATTCTCCAGTGAAGAATAAATCAGGATCTGAGGGCTGAAAGCCAACACCTAGAAAATGCCTACATTTAAAGAACAAGAGAAACAAGAATTCAGAGAGTCTGCCCTACATTTATGACCAGGTGTGCATTTGATAGTTATTCGATGGGATCATTGTTATTTATTTTCCAGTTTTAAAGAAGTGTGGTTAGTCTTCTATGAGGACTAAAGTATGTATCTATTACCCCAATTAAGCTTTTAAGTTTCCAGAAATACTAAATACTTAAAACCATGTAGTACTTTTAAAAGTAATTAATGATTCCAGTCCAAAAATATGGTGGCTGAAGCATAATTCTCAATAATGACATGACTATGGATGATGTTATGTACCAAAAAGAGGCTCAAAACCCAATACTCCCACGGGCGAGGGAATAGCCAAGTTTGTTGCGGTTTCCAATGAATGACATTAGTCCTGTGTAGGTCTCAATCAAAATGGGTTCAGTCAACACTGTCAGTCTCTTTCCATTTCCAGATCCAGCAGAATTCTTTAGGGCATTCTGGATGGCTGGAACAAGCTTAGATGTGAATCCAGACAACTGAAAAAGAAAAAGAGAAGGCACAGTGTCAGTGAATGTAGAGTAGGTTCAGAGACAATCACCCTAGCCAGTCTTCGTGACAGTTGGCCACTCTCCCTAGGGCTGCCCTTCTTAAACATAACTTCTCAGAATAGTTAACATTGCCTCTGTTAGACTTCTAATACATTAATCAGTTAATTACTTATGTACATACTAAAATTATCTGCCTTGTCTTATTTATTTTCCATTATTCATAATTTGTACAATGTTAAGGAGTCAATTTAATAAATATTTGCTCATAGTCTATTATGAATCAGACACCTGTTGAGTGATGCTGCAGTTTTAAACATAAATAAGATACAGTTTTGACCCTCAAATAAAACTCTACCATTCTATAATAGAGAATCTAAGAAATTAATGTGAACTCGCAACAACATATACGGTTTACTAAAATAAGCAACAAAAGAAGGCATAAAATACTAAAGGAACACAAAAAGAGAAAAATATTATACATGATTAGAGGATCTGAAATGACTTCAAAAGGAGACTGAGACTATCCTTAAAAGTTTAATGGGATTTCAGGCCAGCTTTTGGCTTAGTGGTTAAAGTGGCTAGATCCCATATGGCTGACTATGCTCTTCAACTACAGGACCTGATGACTCTAAACATGTTGGTACTTGTGTTTGCATGACTGAAATTTCAAAAGGAGGGAGAAATGGAGGAGAAGGGATTGTGGTGTGACCATTCCACATGGCAGGGTGCTTTCTCATTGTCCTTACATCTTTCTCTGTCTCTCTCTAGTGAGCACACATACTCTCTGGAAAATTATATTTCAATAAATAGAAACGAGATTCAACAGCTTAGAGAGAGACTACTAGCAAGCTTCTGTCTTTTTCTAGCCTAGTATCCTTTCTATTATGTGAAATTTTTCTGAAAGGAGTTCCTAGACTACCTGCCTTTGGAGAATCATCTTTCACCTAGTTCCTATTGTTTAAATAAAGCTGTTGTTAAACATGACTTGAGACTAACCAATCAAAGGAATCTATTCCTGGTCACAGGGATGGTTGGGTTGTGGGAACATGGCTCTTGTGGTTGCCGAAGTAGTAGAATATAAGACTAGAGGTATTCATGGTCACTTTAGGTGCACATAGTGAAGCTGAATGAGCACAAAGTCAGCAAAGATGAAAGAAACAGGACTTGGAGAGAGATGAATTCTTAATATAGTGTTTTAATTGCTAGTTAGCCTCTTATGTATGTATAAGTTAAATGACTTAAAAAAGATTCTTTCTTGGTCAAGACATATTAAATTGGATTTCTTTACTTGCCATCTTAAGAGGAGGACAATTTAGGGAGTATTCCAAATAGAGATATAAATAAGGATATATACATAAGTAAAACTCATATGTTCGTATTTCCAGTAAGGCATTTTATATAAATTATCTCTTTTCAATAAAGATCTATCAAGTAGGTAAACAAAGTATTATAATTTTTATGTTAGAAATATAGAAGGCACTGGGACCATCAGGTGGCATGGTGGTTAAGGTATTGGACATTCCCACATGGCTGACCACGGTTCAAGTCCTGGACCTGGTGGCTTGCTTTCTCACTTTCTCTCTCTCTCTCTCTCTCTGGTCAAATTAAATAAATGGATAAATAAATAATAAAATCAAATAAATAATTCTTTAAAAAAGAAATATAGAAGGCACAAATTATCTGTTGAACATATTGCACATGACAATATCTTTAACTGGATTAATACACAGTGTATTCATGCTGGGAAAATTCATTTGCATGCTGTATTTTATACAGAGTGACTGACTATATAAAAGAATACTAAATTTAAAAAGTAAAATACAAAAATAAATATAGAAGGCAAAGGAGTTTCCTATAGTCACTTGACTTCATACATCATGGTAAACAAAAAAATATAATTAGGAAGAAGGGACTACCCACAGTGAGATCCAAATCCCTTTCCTAGGCAACTGGCCCACTAATCTAAGTTAAAAACTCTTAGAATTTATTCCAAGTTCAGTGCTATTTATAAAACAACTTGTACAAAGGGATTATTGTTCTTCCAATTTCCCCCTGAGGAGACCAGTTTTGCTTAGATTGACACAAGAATATCTACTTGTGATGACTCAGTGAATCTCAGTAGGAGAAGCCTGTACTCTTCTTTCACCATAATCCAAAATTCCATATTGGTTTTATCTCTCTCTTTTTTTTTTAATTTTGTCATATTGTCCTTGGGCAAACAATTTCTCAGTTTTAGGTTAGTTTCCTTATCCATAAAATAAATTTTAAATAATCTAGAATTTACAATGGATCTATCATTCCTAAATGACCTAACCCAAAAGCCAAAAAGAGATCACATGAATGAAATTGATGAAATATACTACCTCTGTGGCATTATATTTCAGTTCTGGTTCTGTGCCTCAGTTTGTTCTTTAGAAAAAAGGCTTTGAAATCTATGGTTTTAAATATAATATCAGCGATAAAAGAAACAAATTAGTGGCTTTGATCATAAAATAAGAAAAAGTTTACTAGCATACATCAATATCTAGGGGTTTTCAAAATAAACCAAGGTATTTTTTCCTTCTATTTTTCTTGAAAGTAATATTTTCCCAATTGGATAATGTCAAAATATAAAACTTAACAAATTCCTTGACTGAGGTCAAAGATCCTAGCTGACAGAGAGTAGGATTTTGCTTATTCTCCAGGAGTTTCAGTATATAGTGACAAAAACAGACAGATGATGGCTCCTACTAGCTCCAGGACCCAGCATCCTCAACAGACCTTGGCAGGGATATACTGAAATAAACTACAGCCACAGTTTAGAGATGTTTAAAGTGAAATGATTGTAGCAAAACACATCCTTGTTTTTAGTGAACTCTACGTGCTTCAGTGGACTGAGTAAGATAAGCAGAAAAGTGTTTTCTTCAGCTTCCAAAAAGGAAGAAGAAGTTAATAAGTTGGGCCTTTAATCACTGTGTTTTGAAATCATGAACTTTCGAGATCGAAAGTGTTCTTGAAGTTTATCAATTCCAGAAACTTGTTAAGTATTATAATCACCCTTGTCACATCCTCAGCACGAAGTCCCACTCATGTACATAGACATTTCCAATGATGCAGAACTCACTGCCACCAAAACATGTCCATCCCATCACAGTGGAGAGTGGGGACTTAGGATTAGGGGAAGAGGGTCAGGTATGTTTCCTTTGGTGGTAAGACCTTAGAAAAATTGTTTAATCTCCACCGAGCCTTAGTTTACTCAATAGAAAATAGGAAAATAATAATAATAGCAAGAATAGGAATACCAAGCTCATAGTATTTTTGGATAAATTTAAATAAAGTATTCAAAATATTTTATAATCTGTATTATACATATATGTATATATATATTATATATATATATATATATAATATATATATATAAAATCATTATTTATAAGCTTGAAAAATTTTTAACTTTCTTAGTTCTACAATATGGTTTCCAATTCCATTCTTTGAATTCTTTAAAATGCACTATGGGTCCAAGAAAGCCATTTAAAAAATAATAATATGCCTTTTCCTTGTTGTTGTTGTTGCATTCCACTTGCTCATTTTTGTTTTGTTTCAGAGAGGTTTTTGCTTTAGGGCATGTGTGCTGACCAGAGAGACAGATGGAGAGAGAAAAAGTGAGAAACCACACACACACACACACCACCCCCGCAGGTGGTGGCAGATAGCCACACCACAATCCCTTCTCCTCCATTCTCCTCTCAAAATTTTGGGCATGCACACACATGCACCCAGCATGAGTTTCAAGCGACCAGGTCCAGGATTCAAACTGTGATCAGCCATGTGGGAGTTCAGTGATTTAACCACTATGCCACCTGCATTTCCTCATATTTTATTGGTGATTTTTTTTTTTTGGAGAGATTTTCACTGTAGGGCACGTGCGCTCGCCAGACAGACAGAGACATAGAGACAGAAAGCGAGAAATCACCCACCAGGGGGGATGGCCACGCCGCAATCCCTTCTCCTCCATTCTCCTCTCGGGATCTTGGGCACGCACGCACACGCGCCTGGCGTGAATTTTAAGCCACCGGGTCCGGGACACGAACCGCGGTCGACTACATGGGAGTCCAGCGACATAGCCATTACGCTAACTGCTGGTTCCCTTTTATTGGTGATTTTTGAACATATTATTTTTTATTTATATTTAATCACTGTACATTCTTACATCATATGCTAATTTTTCCCAATCTGAGTATAATGTATATTAATCCTTTCAAGACATTACCATACACATTATCATTAAGAGATAACTTTTCACTTTGTGTCTCTTAAATGGTCTTTCTTCCCTTGATTCCTCTGCTCCCATCCCCATCTATACTGCCTCTAGTCTCTACAGTTGCCTTTCCCCTCACCCCTTTCCCTGCTTTTACACCTTTCAGTTTTTCAGTTTTTGCTATAGTGTGTGTATGTATGTGAGTGTGTAGTTTTTCATTTTTATTTTTGTTTGTTTTGTTTGTTTGTTTTGTCATAAGGCACATACACTCACTGAAGAGACAAAGAAAGATAGTGAGAGAGAAAGTGAGAAATCACACACCAGGGTTGCTGGTCACACTACATTCCCTTCTCCTCCATTCTTCTGGGATTTGGGGCATGTATGCACATGTTCCAAGCATGAGTTTCAAGCAGCTGAGTCTGGAAACTTGGTCAGTCATTTGAGAATCCAGTGCCTTAACTGCCATGCAACCCACTGTCCTCATGGGTCTCAATGTTTTTCACAGTTGAGTAGTATACCATAGTGTATATGTGCCACATTTTTTCAATCCATTCACCTGCTCTTGGACATGTGAGTTGATTCCACGTTTCAGCAATTGTGAATAATACTGGAACACATACTGGATGTAGAAGTGGTTTTCTGCCTATTTCCTATCCTTTGGGTAGATACCCTGGAGTGGAAGTGTTGGGTCATACTTAAGAAAAATATGGCTTTTGTTAAGTAACAGAGTTTCTTGGAGGCCAAAAGATAT